TACTGGATATCCTCCATATCATGATATTCCACACAACGAAGATCTAGCAACACGTATTTGTCTAGGTTACAGACCTAGAATTAGATGCGAAGTTCCTCAATTATTTTTGGATCTGATGAATGAATGCTTAGACGCAGAACCTCAAAACAGACCAACTGCTAAAGAATTAGTTGATACGTTGTATCAATTTTTTTATAATTTGGAAAATGAAAAAACTGAATTATATAAGCAAGTTAAAAATATTAAAAACTTAGACAAAAATTTCTTAACATATAATCAAGTCAAATCGATACAATTCAAATTTCAGACACATCCGCAAGCTATTTATACAAGTCGATTTTTGAATCTTTCCAAACTCCCTAAACCAGGTAATAACATCTATTCATATTTTTTAAAAAATTAATAATATGTTAACATTTCTGAATCTGTCAATATAGTAAATGCAGGTAATGATATTATTTCTCAAATTAAATTCAAACTGTAGTTTTAGTATATTTATATGTATATATTTTTAGCAAGTCAACCCAGTCAACGCATTAAATGTGTTGAAATTCCCGACGGTAAGTAATATTTGATTTACTTATAAATAACCAAATTTATTGCTTATTTTTATATTTGTATTTAGATTATTAAATCAAGCAAAAGGAAGTTCTATTTACTATTGGCATTCTACAATAATTCAGTAATTGTTATGTATCTTCAAGTATGTACGTACCTAAAGTGAAAAAGATATTGAAATAATAATTTTAAAATTACCTTTATTACTGTTGATGGTAGCCTTGTTACTTTAAATGATATATTATAAATGTTTTAAAGGAAGGCCATAAAATCAAAGTCTAAATATTAAGGCTCCGAACCTCAACAGTTCCTGCTTCCTAATATAATCAAAATCAAAATTATATTTTATCTTGAAACTGTGATCAATATTTTATAATTATTTCTTAAGATAATATCTGGTTAAAAAATAAATATTAAGCCTTTTTACATTTTCTAAATACCATTTAGCCATTATCAAGAGATTATATTATTAAAATATGTAAAAAAAAACCTCTAAGAAATGATTGGATTCGAACATGTCTTGAAAGCGAATTCAGTTTAATCTTTAAATGGGTTAATTACAACTCAATAAAATAGATAGATGAGGATAATTAAATGTTAGCATTAAGTTTATGTAGATAATAACGTGAGTGCCAACCAATAAAATTTCGAGTTTGATTTCGTCGATAGTTTCAAACCGCCATTTTCAAAGCAAAAGTTTTTGGCGTAAAAGGAAAAAACATGGATAGTATAAAAATATGAAATAACAAAAAATTTTTTATTATAATAAATAATATATACTAATTATATTGTAATATACACAAATGTTAACTTAGAAGTGAAAACTGTCTTTTTTCACAAAACAGATCACAACTTGCAGATCACTTAATTAAATCTACCCAGAAAATTTTGACATTACACTTGACCGAACATCCAAGTTTACTAATCAGAGTATTACTAAGTTGAATAAAATTAATTCTGTACATTATTAATAGTACAACAATGGAGTTACCCACCATTTGTGATTCCGATTAGTATGTATTTTTTGAGGGAGTAACTTTTTGATCATGTTAATTTTTTGTTCAGTAATATGACTAGAACTGGTAATTCATTCCATAAATTATTTTAACTTTTAATATGCAAGCGTTATCGTTATCGAAATCAATTAAATTAATTTAGTATAAACTGGTTTTTTGAGTAATACAAAAAATATTATGTGTTCAACCTAAACCGAACCTTGGTTCCGACAATATTTCGGGTTTCACCATTGTTATAGTTACACAAAAATCCTACGGTTCCGAGCCTGATTTTACAGGTCCTTTTCTCACAAAGAAGTGTTATCACATGGTCTTGGCATTCCGTTAATCGTAGTTATTGGTTTAAACATATTTATATTATAAATATATATATTATATATTATTTATTTTTAATAATAGTTAAAAAACTATCATATTAGTAACATTGTTCTATATAAAACGAAACTATTTAGTTTTGAGTAAAAATCGAACAGTATCGTATGACATTTATACAAAATCCCCACTTTTTGTATCGAACATATGATCACGTTGGCCTTTAAATTTCAATTATATTATTATTACACAACGGAAACATCATGCCACTTCATGAACCTAACTATTTTCTTTTTCTCTAATTCATTACATGTTATTTGTTAAATTACATAATTAGGCAATTCCGGGCGATCAATTGCTAATCTGAAGTACATACTAAAAATTTCTTTACCTAATTAGTTAATCCACAATGACCAAAGAAATAGTTTATTTTGTGGCTCAGTAAAAATTGACGTTATAAAGTTAAAGTGGCTTATATATGTAAGCACAAAATTTTTGTGCACATTAAACTATTAAAATAAGTTGTTACGCGAAATAAAAAATAAATGCTTACGTGCATACGTACAATAAAAGAAATCATAGTTAAAAATATTTTAAAATAATTTTAAAATTTGTAAAAAATCTAAATGGATAATGCGATATGTACGACAATACAAAGGATTGTTTAAGTTACGGAATCGTCAACTTCTATCTGATAAGCCTTAATTGGAACTGAGCGACAGCCTATGGCTGAATTCGGATCTGATAAAGTGATTTTGAATTGAGTTACCAATCATTATTGCAGTATAAATCTGATAACTTATGCATGTTCCTATTATGTATTTTTATTTATATTGTGTAAAATTATATAAATATGATGTAAAAAAAACTCTTTGTGATCTCATTTGCTTTTTTTTTAGCTCAAATAATCGGTTTATTTCTTCTTCCACCATAAATTTAAAATAAAAAAAATATAATAATAATATTCTCATCTTAATCATCTTAAAGTTGAATCTCTGTGAACCCAAAAAAAATGGAAAAACAATCTTTGTTTCATCGTGTAGGCTCGAAATTATCAAATATTATACAATCTACGATTTATTCTAAATCTATAAATTCTAACCTGCCTCCGAACCAGGAACATCAACCTTCTCAAGATACTGATGCTTATAAACATTCTGGTGCTCAACTACAGACAAATCCTCCTTGTAATGAAATTGTTTCAATAGCTGATTTTGATCAAGATCCATGCTTTGCATGCTCTAATCCATGCGATCATCCAAGTTACCCTTCTTACTTAAAAATAGATTATAAATCTCCTCTAGAAGGTTCTGTAAAACCATATGTAAAACATGTATTAATTTCAACTGGAAAGTCCGATTGGAGTTCCCATATTGAGGATGAATGTGGTTCCTTGGCCGCTAATTTAAATAAAATTATCAAAGGTGATTCTGGAAAAAAAATTTCTCAAAAAGAAAAAAAGAAGGATTCTCCAAAGAAAGATAAGAGAAATAAAGTTGAAGCCGGTGGTCTTAACCATGATGATACAAGTGTTGAAATAGAGAAACCAAAAATTGTCGTCACCAATAGTGATCGTCAAAACTCTGATTATGATCCTTCGTTTTTAAAAGGAAATGACATTCTTTTATTCCCTGATAATATTCTTGTTCGTAATGTGTCTACTAAAGATGCTTCAGAATTTTATAAAAAGTATTTATCATCTACGGATGCATCTTCTCTGGATGAAAAAGATCTTTTCACTTCCTTCAATTTTACCGTTGAGCCAATGCCATATAAAGCCGTTATAATTATATGTTCTCATAAACGTCGTGATAAAAGGTGTGGTATCACTGGTCCGATACTAAAAGATGAATTTAATAAAGTTTTAAAAGAAAAAGGTTTAGATGTTGAAAGTAGTAATAATGACGGTGTCGCCGTATTTCTTAGCAGTCACACTGGAGGTAAATATATATATATATAATATATATTATTATATACTTTATATACTTTTTTATCAACTCTAACGTATTATTATTATTATTTTCGAAATTAGGTCATAAATTTGCCGGAAATGTTATAGTTTACCGTGGTGGTCAAGGTATATGGTACGGACGAGTAATTCCTTGTCATGCAAAGAATATAATTGAGACAACGGTTCTGGAGGGAAAAGTCATCAAAGATTTGTATCGTGGATCAATGAATGGAAGTTTTGCTTCTGGGAAGGGTGGAAGACTGGATTGGTAAATGTACCAATCATTACTCATTTTTTTACTCAAATCATACATGAACTTTTTTTTTTTATTACTTCAATATAGAATTCTTAATGTAATGCATAATATAAAAGCTTTAGTAAAAATCAATTATAATGTTTAAATTTGCATTTATAGATGAACAAAAGTTTTTGTTTATATTAAAACTTTAATGTATCTGTCAACTTTCTGTTAATATTACTCATTCAACAAACTTATTAATCGCTTGGACTTTGAAAAACTATTCATAGTTTTTGAAAAGTATTGTACGTAAATTTTTGTAATAAAGAAATCAAACCTTTTAATTATACTTAATTGCAAATGGATGTTGCATCTTGTAGGTGAGAGCAGGATTAACGTTAGATGAATTTGAATTTCTTAGTTTATTATTTGGTGGCAAAATTCTACATAACCCAATGAGTTCTAACTATATACAAATCTTAATTCTAACCAAATTTTAATATCGGTCAAATCAATAGCTCGTATTAAATTTCAGGTAGAATAGTTAGTGGTGGTGGCAGAAAAAATTTGGGATTAGGTGATTGCCGACCACATAATATTCATGCAATCGAAAGATAATCAATGCCTTAACTTTTGTACCGTAACGTCTTTAAAACTATTAATACTAGATTACATAAATTTTAGATTTTATTTTTAAAAAAGTCTAAGATAAGTAACGAAGACAAGTTTAGCTTTATTGTACGTGAATTAAGAGACTTCTTTCCGGTCAGAATTAAAAAAGTATCGCTAAAGTGCAATTTTTATTACATTAGCTCGATTTTTCTTGCATCCATACTAATATATTAACTTAATTCGAAATTAATTTCACTTTTATTTGTATCATATAATTACTGTACTAACATTAATAAAACCACAACTGTCCATTAAGTAAAAAAAAACTCCCCACGAACAGGCTTAAGTTAGCCCATTCTTATTGACCCATCCTAAAAGAAAAAAAAAATCACCGTTTTTGACACGTATAGTAAATCTTGTGACCAGTGAATCTGAATATCGATACAATTTAAATAGAAAAGCGAGAATGATGTAATGATACGATGCTGCTCAAACATATATTTTTAGTAAATTGTCACTTGGCGTGATGTCGGCTAAGTGTCGATGAAATGATTGTAATGATAAGAATGATAAGTATTATCTGTTATATGGGACCCAGCCGTAAGTAATATAGTAACTTATTATATTACTTGCCATAGTTACAGCAAGTTGCAGCAAGTTACGGCAAGTTACTAATCCAGACTAAAATGCTATTATATGTTATATATAAAATTGGTCCGGCTTCAAAATAATTACCCAAATAAAAGACAAAGTGATAAGAAAATAAATTCTTTGTTTAACGACAAGATTGTAAAGAAATTTGTTGTGATCTCATACTGTACTTTGGCAAAAACGCGATTACTACGTCATAAACTAATTGAACACAATATCATCCTAAAATGACCTTCTTTTTTCTGTGTGGGTAATGCAGATATTCAATTACCATTTGGGCAAGCAGTTAAAAATTATCTTTATTCGCTTCCTATATTATAAAATATTCGTCACAGTCAAAAAAAAGTTAATGAGGCATGGCTTGTAACGTATAAATGTTGTAATGCATTACTGTATAAGAAACAACGATATTTTTTAAATTTATATAATTGTGTTATCAAAGTATTTTAATGGATTTTACTTTTTTCTCTTCTGGTTATTTAAATTCTTCTTTAAACAATGTATAAGAGCATTAGGGGTATTATGACGAAGTTAACAAAATTTCGAACGTATCATGTGATTTATCGATTAAAATCTCTGAATCGATTGATATAAGAATTATTCGATTCTTATACTAGATCCTGAGATATGTTAAGATTTCTTGTACTAGAAGGTATTGTGACGAATCGTGACCTTGTGATCGGAATTCAGCGATTTTTATGTCATTTGGTTCTCATCGAGAGGAATAGAATAGTGTGAAAATTTTATTCGATTCTGATCACGGGATCACAAGATATTACGATTCGTCACAATACCTGCTTCGTCATAATACCCTATTACCCTTATATACATGTGATGTCATGTAACATATAAAAATAATAAAATAAAATAAAAATAAAATAAAAATAAAATAAAAATAAAAATAGAAAATAAAAAATAAAATAAAATTAAATTAAAATTAAAAATTATAAAATCGAATAATTAATTATATTACAGCATTTTTGGAAATAATTGTTCGGATATTTAACGGATGTTCGAATTTTCAATCATAATAATTTCACCAAATCGAATACAAATCAGAAAATTAAAATTCGCAATTTTTAGTTTAATTGTTTTTACTTTAAAAGTTGATACGCTAAAATGATTTTTTTGCATTCAAATAGGTTTAGATATTTCTAATATTTTAGCATGCTAGAAGACAAAATTGTTGTAATCTGAAATTTGAAATCATCCAAGCATTTAAGCAGCTTAAAAATTCTTATTATACTGTAGTTAGAGAAACCGATATGCACGGTGGACAGATTTTGTATCAGTATTGAGAGGTTATCAGATTTGAAAACATTATAAACTATTAGATTTATAAAACGGAAACGGACTAGGTAGACTAATTTTTTATCAGATTGGACAGGTTATCGATTTTGGGAGGGTCAGCAAATAGCATGTAACGAATAATAAAATCAATTTTGCTAAAGTTAAAAATAAAGTTTTTATTTGTATTTTGAATTTCATCGAATATCATCAAATATCAATGAATGTATTGAATATTTATTCGTTCTAAAGCAGCTTCTTCGATATATTTTGCTAGTGATCGAATGTTTTCATTCATAACGATCGTTATAATGCGAAAATGTGGATTTTAAATTTTAACTAATCAGTGCAACTCTGAAAAAAATTAGTGATACAACGATATATACTTAGAAAGATATAACTGTACCAGTATACTTTTAAGATCAAGTGTAATGCAAAAAATTCAGAACAATTCAAAAATTATCTATCCCCTACTCCATTTAGCAATCGCAGGCAAATTTGCAGGAACGCAGATATCCAATCATCTTAGTCACATATCACGAGTTTGACCCCAATTTACTAAAAGTCCTAAATATCTCCGATATTTAAACTATGTTGAGCATCTTGAAATGTCATATGGTTTCTGAAGGTCCCTAAAAAGTAAACGAAGAATTCAAAGAGAACAAGGTCTATGCATTGCCAAAAATGAAATTGGCAGAAATCCCTCGAATGGGTGATTCGGTTTGCAAGTTTGCCTGTTTGCCTGTAAGACGGCGTAAGGGATAACTCAAAAATTTGCCTATAAAACTGTTTTTAGCATACTAATAAAAGTTTTTTTATAAAGCTTTGGTAGTGGTTTTTTTAAAACTCTAATCTAATTGTAAATTTTTTTTTTAGTGAAAATATTATTATAGTGCTATAATATCGGTATTATGATATTACTTTATATTAGTGTTCAGAAGTTCAGGCTCGGTTCGATCGAACCCGAACCAAACTTTAAAATTTTGTAGATCTTTGAACTCGAACCCGAACCGAACTTAGAATTTATGAACCAAACTGAACTTGAACTTGAAATTATTGGTTCAGTCTGAGTTCGGTTCGAAGTTCATGAACATGTTCGGGTTCAAGTAATAAAGTGTCGCGGATCATAGTGAAATCGGATTAAAATTAAATGAGGGTTTTTATTTAACTCTCTAAAATCCATTTATACTTGTTTATTATAAACTCTATCCTAAAACTAACCTCTAGTGCTAACCCTAACTCTAAAAATAGCACCTCAAAAATTTTTATTTTTCGATGGCTGGTCTATTTTTACATTGTCAATATTTCATTTTAATCTGATTTCATTTTAATCCGTTACAGTTGTAACTAGGAGCTACAACTGTATCAGAAATATAAATAGAGTGCAGGTTTGCAAAGATCTGTGACTCTAGAATTTTTTAATAAATTTTATAATATAGTATATTCTGTTAAAACCGGTATGCATAATAGACAAATTTTTCAACAGCTTTAAAAGGTTATCAGGTTTAAGAGGTTAAAATCACTACATTAGAAACAGGTATGGTGAATCAATTTTTCATCGATTTTGACATGTTAACAAGGTTGGTTTTGACAGGTTATACTTTATTTTGCAATATCTCATGATCTACTAATCAAAATTTAACAATTCAAGTACTATTCAATTCATCTTGATAAAATAGATCAAATGGTACCAAAATTTGTTGATTTTTAACCACAAAATCATGAGATAATCATGTTTAAATAAAGTTTACAAGCACTGAATGATTTTTCTAACTAGTAGTTCAAAATTATACTATTAAATTTCTCTCAATAAGACAGTTTGAATAGTACTAAAATGTTAAAATTGGATTACTGGATGGTGAGATATTTGCAAAAAAAAACATTTTGCAGCACAGTTTTGCATAAAAATTTAAATTTATCTTTTAAATTTCTGTACAAACCTGTATTACAAAATATTTTTTGTGAATATCCCACTAACTAGTAATCTAATTTTACATTTTTGATACTATTTAAACTGTCTTGTCAAAAGAAATCAGATAGTACCAAAGTTATTAATTTGGATCACTGGTTAAAGAGATTATTCAATACTTGTAAACTTTATTTAAACATGATTATCTTGAAATCTAGTAGTTAAAAATTAACAAATTTAATACTATTTAATCTATCTTATCAAGATAAATCAAATGATACTTAAATTGTTAAATTTCAATTAGTAAAATTTCTAAGGTTGCAGATCTTTCAAATTTGCATCCTATTTTTATTTATTTTTCTAATATGCTAAAAATTACTATAAAAAAAACAATAATACACTTGCTTTCTAAGTTTTATAATACTATTTAACTATTATACTGTATATTGAAAATATTTGCAAAAAATACTTAAATGTCTTATAACTATATTAGAAAGTACAGTTATTTTGAGGTGTGGCGGCTTAGTGAAGTGGTCTAGTTATTACCCTCTTCAAGAAGCAGGTCTAAAGTTCAA